GAATAGGTGCTGTTTTCCATTGCACAACAGCCTTGCAGGCACCTTTTCACAAAGTGGTTTCCATGAGTTGAGAGAGACTAGCATGGTACATATAGAGCTTCACTGCATGGTATAACCTTGATTTATCTGACCTAACTGACCTTGGCCCATACCTGTGAAATATTTTTCGCAGCATCAGATGTCATCTCCCACAGCAGACCTACTTGTTGTTGCATGAAGGACATGGTATATGGCGCCACATGGATACACACTTCAGGCTGAAAAATAGACTTGAAATATGTCAAACTGATCTGGATTTCCACTTGAATAAATCACATGCAAACTTAATATTTCCATCTTCAGAAAATCACTATATACTGTCTTCAAAGCTAATTTTGGCTTCCCATTTTGAATTCAAAATTTGAAGAACTAGACGCAAGTTACTCATTTGATTCATTTGTGTATTCATGATATGCATTTCATTTTAAAGGTTCCCAAATGAATATGATCTTGAAACTTAGACTGCATTCCCACAGATTTAGAACGATCCATCTGGATCGACCTAACTCCCTGGGGGTTCATGCTAAATTGCTGTCAGCTCAAGAGGCCTAAATGTCTGTCACGCCTACTGAATCAGCAACAGGCCTACCTAACTACCAGACTCAGCACATAAGGATCCTGAATTAACCGGTATATCGGACCACAATACCCGTTTTCAAGGTGTGTGTCAGATCGCATTTCGGAGTATCAGTCAGAACACCAACAGGATGAGCCCACGCTTGGCTGTCACCTTGATTGGATAGTAAACGATTGTCGTAAAATCGCTATATGATTTTTAAACCGGGTGCATAAATTTGAAAACCACCTAGAACAACCTTAGACTGCCACATTAATCTAACACAATGCAAAAAAGCCCTATCAAAAGTGGTTAAAGCATTCAAACCGAATGTCGTAAAGTCCCCATATACCCCCATAGAGACAATAAAATAGAGTACTCTAAAGTAAGAGTAGGCCTACAGTCTAAGGTTGTTCTAGGTGGTTTTCAAATTTATGCACTCGTTTTAAAATCATATAGCGATTTTACGACAATCGTTTTACTATCCAATCAAGGTGACAGCCGAGCGTGGATGAGCCCGTGATCGTCCTACAAAATTTGTTCTCGGGTGTGATACTCCGAAATGTGATCTGACACACACCTTGAAAACGGGTAGTCTGGTCCGAAATACCGGTTAATTCAGGATCCTTAGGTGCCGAGTCTGGTAGTTGGGTAGGCCTGAGCAAGGGAAAAGATAATTACCCCCTAACAGCTTTACTAGGCGCGATAGACATTTAAGCTGGCCAAGTTGACAGCAATTTAGAAAGACTCCCCATGGGGGATAGATCGATCTAAATATCTGTGGGAATGGTCTCTAAATCAGCTTCAATAAATCAAAGGCATAAACCTACCTCTTTTTCCATCATTAATTTAACATATTCATCAAGAACCACAATTTGCTCCAAATGGGGGCTGTATGGATTGGTTGTATGAACTATAGGAAAGAATATGAACAACTGTTGAAAAATATGTGCAAACTTAAAATAACCACATGGTTATACATGGAACTCATTTTGCTTGATTTCTAGTTCTAGAGATGAACATATTTCCACGAGTTCTAGAGATGAACATATTTGGACTCTTTTCTCAAGTCGAAGATGCAGTTTGCATTTAAAAGAGGGTATGCACAAGGTTTAGATGAGAAGTGAACCTTCTTTAAAAGGCTAAAATTGAGAAGTGAAAAAGGTATACAAATTTCATTTACCTAAAAATGCAACAAATGTTTTAAAATAACAAAAGAAGAAAATCAACTACTCACTGTACAACTTATCCAGACTTTTATCATAACCTTCTTTGCCTTGTGAAAAACCAGAGTCACGTAAATATTGCTTTAAATCCACACACAATTGTTCCTCCTTATCGTTTTTTAGTTTCACTTCACCTCCTGCTATTTCATCTCCTTGAAATTCACGTTTCGGAATTTCTACTTCTCTGCAGTATTTACATTCCCTTATTTTGTCTATAATTGCCTTTATTTTCATCAACTGGGTGTCCCCAGTATCACCATTATCTTTAAACAAGGAGTCACTGCCTCCTCTACAGTCATGATTTTCTGTCTTAAGTGGAAGAAAATCATGTGCACCAACAGTAACTGTATTTTCTATTGAAACTTGCTTGTCTGTGAAAATAATATCATTCTGGGATTTTCCTCTGCCAACAATGTTCACAGAATATCTGAAAAAAAAAAAATATATATATATATATATCTTTCAAACTTAAAATGGCAAAAAGGGGAAATTCAAAAATTGGTAACCAGTTTATGAATAGCAATTTTCTCAACACTTTTGGAGAGTGTATGCCTTGGTGCTGTAATGGAAACTGTTGACTTTTCCCCATTAAAAAAATTATTTATTTTTTTCTGTATAAAGGTCTAATGCCTTTTAAAAAAATAAAGAGAACCATGTAGTGGTACCATAATAACTCAAACTTTTTAATGGGAAAAAATTATCAATCTTTTAGATATATAATTTTGAAATCACTAAAATACATTTTTGTGTAGCATTTGCTTTTACTGTATAGAACGGAAATACAAGGTGGCCTGCTGTTTGCAACAACTTTGCTACCACTCAATAAGAATGTTCTTATTTCAAGAATTTGTAAGAATTTTCCCCCATTGAAGAGACTGAATACCACATTTTCCAAACTTATCCACATTATCTGAATTATTAGGTTACATATTATTTGCAAAAGTTATAAGTTTGAAGCTGTTCACACTGAATAATAATTCTTCAAACTTATGCTACATTCAGTAGACCTTAACTGGTAACAGCACTGTCCAGTTGGTTTCAGTTTAGATGCTGTCAGAAAATTTGACATATAATTCCAAAGTGTACTAAATAAATAAAAAACTTTTGCAAATAATAAGAATCAATGTAGAAGATGTATCTATATCCTTACCCAACAGCCTCCAGTAAGTGTTTTACATGCTGCATGAGAACTACAGATCTCAGCTGTAACAAACTTGTCTCTTTGCCTTTACATTCCACAGCAGTAGCACTAACATCATGCACGAGAACTTTCCTGCCATTAAAAACACCATCTTTTCTACCAAAATGATCTCCACTGGCCATTACGGACCCGAGAACAGCTTTAAATGTCTCTGGCCTGGATAGTCTCATGAGAAGAGAGTGATTGTCCACTCTACTGGACATTAAAGGTACTGACCACTGGCTGCCCTCTTGAAGCAAGCTGGAGGCAAGATCTTCTGCCTGGTACAAAATGAAAACCATTTTGTATCATTTGCTTTATTGGTTACATTACAAATATAATATTAATTATTTATCATTTTTATTATACCTCTTACTGAAAGTTTATTTTTAAATATTTATTATCTAAAGATAAATCTTAAGCAGAGAAATTCTCAAAAAATGACCAACACCAACAATAACCAGTTTCATGATTAAATTATCGTTGTACTCTCTATACCTACAATATTATACTGTGAACTCCTGACCCCTCAAAGTTATGAGGGGGAGTGACAGACATTAAAGCCAGACATTTAACTACTAGGACCCCATTCCCACAGATTTAAGATCCGTGGGGAGTCTCACTAGATTACTGTCAGCTTAGCTGGCTTAAATGTCTGTCCCGCCTACTAAAAGCTGTAAGGGGGTTATTAACTTCTGTGCACAGTCAGCTGACAGCAATTTAGCGTGAACCCCCAGGGAGTTAGGTCCATCTAGTTGGATCGATCTAAATCTCTGGGAATCGCTCTTAAACTGAATGCAATTTGGCGAGAATCCCCGTGGATTAAAGATCAATCCAGCTTACATGATAGGGTTATGGGAACGCTCCCTCATTCGAATCTATTCCATACAAATTCAATGTCACAAAACTTGAACTTCAAGCCTCCAAATAACTTACTAGTAAGCAAAAACACCATGTATCCATGGCATTTACCCACCATGTTTTCCATTCGAGCAGTATCTCCTTCCTTGAGCTCGCGAAACAGCGCAGGCAAGGCTACGGAAAATTCTTCCTTGTTTCCACCACTGCTAGTACCAGCTGAGAGATGTCTTCTCTGTGCGAGAGGCACTTCTCTTTTCTTCGCGTTCGGTGACTTTGTTAGTCTTAAGAATTCAACCAGAACTTTATCTATTTGAGCTAACACGGTGTGGAGTATGTCAACGGTGTTGCTGCCTTCGCCAGAGGCCATTTTAAAGGTGTACTGTTTATACACACTTTGGCTTTCTGTGACAAAAGTGTAGCTTTGTGATCTCGTTTCATGTGAACTGCTCTTCACTTATTGGAGGAAGGAATGTAATTCACGTTAAATTTTGGACACAAATGGTATTTCTCTTTTGCAACTCGTACCTAAAAACAACAAAACTTCTCACATAAAAATAGCCATATCTGCCCAAGTACTAGTAGATATACTCGAATAAAAGTTTTTATTGTGTGTTGATAATATTATAATTACGCACACGCTCGGCTGTCACCTTGATTG